CCTGAGGCTTAATATTAATTACAAACTGGCCTTTTTAAAGCTCCGGCTTATTACTAGGTAGCTCTTACATTTAAATTAAGCCGTTTCCATTAATCTGTGTATCACTACATGCCCCGTGGCTTACCGGTAATGCTCTGGCATGTTGTTCCTTGGGTGACTCCAGGGATTCTCCCCAACCCCACCTTCTTTTTCTCCCTGTATCTCTGCTTGGATTTCCTGCCTGGCTCTATTCTGCCTGGCTATTGGTCAAATCAGCTTCTTTATTAACCAGTGGTAATAAGACATATTCACAGCACACAGAAGGGCATCCCACATCAGTCTCACCTGCTGCATGGCTCCTCAGCACTTTGGGTCCCTTTTACAGAGCACGGACATGAAGGAGGCTGGGATCCCTTTACCGAAAGGACTAGGAAATGGGGAAAGAGGGGGTGAGTGAAAATTAAAAAAATACTCCCCAGGACATTCTAGACTCAACAATGTAGCGTGAGCTAACAAAATAGAAGGTGCTGGTATGTGTATAACAAAGAGCTAGGGGGGTGTTTGGGCTCTGAGTTTGCAGGAGGGCGCAGGGGGCACTTATTTCCTTCATTCTGGCAACTGTGGTAAGGTTGTTCCTCTCCAGGGAGCTCACAGTACAGAGGTCTGTGTGACTTCGAGCAGACAAGGAGAACCCTTGGGTATCTGCCATGGTCCTTGTAGGTGTGGCCAACATTTGGACATTATCACCCACTGTTGTCATCCACAGAGTTCACACCTGACAGCCAGGCAGTGGTGGCGCACGCCTTTAATCCCAGCACTTGTGAGGCAGAGGTAGGCAGTTCTCTGTGAGTTCGATGCCAGTCTGGTCTACAAGAGCTAGTTCCAGGACAGGCTCCAAAGCCACAGAGAAACCCTGTCTCGAAAGACAAAAACAAAAACTAAAACAAAACAAAAACAAAAAAATCATGCCTGAGAATCACACAATCAAGTTACAAAAAAACAAAAATAAATCTAACAGTGTTTAAAGTAAGGCTATGATCTTGGGTCATACTATGTTCATTCATAGTTTTGTGGCTGGCGAACTGCGGATTAGACATACCTGCTGACAGTCAAAGTTCTCAGAGTGTGGGCTCTGGGCCAGATGTCCCTACTCTAAACCCAAGGTGGCCTCTAGCAAGCTTTCCCAAGGTCGCATCAGGTCAGAACCACTGCTCTGAACCAGACTGTACTCAGTACCTGCTGTGGTGGCTCCCGGATTCTGAGCACACAAAGATCTCCAGGAAGCAGCTTTTTTCCTGAGACAGGTTTTCACTGTGCATGCCTCGCCGGCCTACAACCTGCTATGTGGATCAGGCTGGCCTCGAACTCACAGAGATTCACCTGCCCCTGCCTCCTGGGTTCAGAATCAAAGGCATGCACCACCACGTCTGGCCCTTTTGAATAAAATGAGGCCATCATTTTAGAAGGTACCTCCTGGCTTTACAATTTCTCTATGTTACCTCTCTGTTTCTGTTTCCAAGAACTCAGATTGGGTGCCTCTCACCAGCCTGGCACACTGCAAGCCCCTGCGGACAATGACAGCCATCAGTCGCTACATGGAGCTGACCATTGAGCCTGTGCAGCAGGTGAGTGGTGCTGAGTATCCAGGTGGAGCGAAGAGAGCAGCCCTGGAGGGCTTCCTGGGGGAGGGGGCGCTTCAGCTGCAGGGATCCATTTAGAGTTCTCCAGACTTGCAGAGGAGGGGAGCCCACGGGAGGAGAAGTCCTTTTCCCTCTGCTCCCTTGGGCACCACGGCTGAGGACTGGAAATCGCACAGATGAAAGAGAAAGAAACCTATTTGTCACCTCTACACAGGTGTTTACAAAGGAAAATGTGGCTCAAGGAAGTCTCAGATGGTTGAGGCTTCTAACCCGTCTCAAGCTCAGGAAAAAAGGCCTAGGGCCTAGGGTTGTGGGGTCAGCAGGAGAGTTAGGAAAGGAGAGGGAAGGGGAGTGTGAAACTCAGGGTTGTCTTCTTGTGTGGTGAGAGTCTCAGGTGGCAGACAGCAGCTGTGCCTGGAAGTAGCTAACCTGGGGCGGGGGCGGGGGGCGGGAATGGATGTTTCCTTTATGAACATGAATGGCTATACAGAAAGGAAAATGTCTAGTCGGCCTCTTTTTAAGACTGCAGTTTTTATTTACTTAAATGGTTTTTCATTGTATCTATCCATCACAGATGGCACCTTATTACCCAAAGATATTTTCACACCAGTGCACACTGTATGTATGTTGATGCATGTTATATGTATGCATGTTCCCCACTCGTGCATTAGTACTTGATACATTGCTGAGACAAAGACAAACAACTTCGGGCTGGAGAGATGGCTCAGAGGGTAAGAGCACTGACTGCTCTTCCAGTGGTTCTGAGTTCAATTCCCAGCAGCCACATGGTGGCTCACAACCATCTGTAATGAGATCTGGTGCCCTCTTCTGGCGTGCAGTCATATATGCAGGCAGAACACTATATACATAATAAATATATACTAAAAAATAAAAAAGAGATAAACAACCCCCAGGGAGATGGGGGGTGACTTGGGCTCACAGTTCCAGGTTACAATCCACTGTCGCAGTGCGATTGAGGCGACTGGTCACATGGCATCCACAGGCAGGAAACAAGAAGGAATGGGTGCTGTGTGCAGATTCAGGACCCAGTCCCGGGATTAGTGCTGTTGCTCCTAGGATGGATCTTCCCAATAACTGACTTGCTCTCCACATGCTCACCAAGGGGCTGGTATCCAGGCGGCTCTAGGTCCATGTCAAGCTGACACTCAATATTAGCCGTCACGCCAGCCCTGCTTCCAGACTCTTCTTTCGGCCTCCTCCGCCTCCCCATTCCCATTAGTTCACCTTGTCTTCCTGGGCAGTGTCTTAGTTAGGGTTTCTGTTGCTGTGGAGAGACACCATGACCACAGCAACTTTTACAAATGAAAAGATTTAACTGGGTAGCTTATAGTTTCTGAGGTTCATTCCATTATCACCGTGGTGGGATGTGGCTGTGTGCAGGCAGACATAGTGGTGGAGAAGGAGCTGAGAGTTCTACATCTTGGTCCAAAGGCAACAAGAGTCTCTGTCTTGACTGTTTAAGATCTCAAAGCCCTCTTCTACAGTGACACACTGCTTCCAACAATGCTACCCCTATTCCACAAGGCCACACCTCCTGATAGTGCCACCCCCTGTGGACCAAGCATTTAAACACGAGTCTCTAAGGGCCATGCCCATCAAACCACCACAGTCAGTTTTACTTCTATGCCCGTGTCGTAGACACTTACATAACCGTGTCTGATATAAAATAAGGAACCACACATGAGAGAGCATGTAATAATTTACCTTCCTAAGACTGATTTAATTATCTTAGTGTGACTCTCTGGAGTCGAATCTATTGTCCTGCAAATAACCTGGCAGTATTTTTTCTTTACACCCATTCCATTACGTATGTAAGCTACACTGTCTTTATTCTTCCGTTGGATACCTGGGTTGGTTCCAACTGCTCATAGTGTCGCAGTAAGCACCGGTATGTGGGTGTCTCTGCGACGCCTTGACTAGGAGAGGTCCCTCAGGCTCATACCGGAGTGCTAGCAGGGCCCTGTGCTACATCTGTGTTTAGTCTTGTGAGACTTCGCCACACTCAGTTCCCAATGGCTCGTCTCGTTTATATTGCCACCAGTAAATGTGGAAGGATCCCTCTGTCTGTGTCTCTCTGTCCTTCTCTCTCTCTCTCTCTCTCTCTCTCTCTCTCTCTCTCTCTGTGTGTGTGTGTGTGTGTCTGTGTGTGTCTGTGTGTATCTGTGTGTGTGTGTCTGTGTGTGTGTCTGTGTGTGTGTGTCTGTGTGTGTCTGTGTGTGTGTCTGTGTGTGTGTGTCTGTGTGTGTGTGTGTCTGTGTGTGTGTGTTTCTGTGTGTGTCTGTGTGTGTGTGTCTGTGTATGTGTGTCTGTGTGTGTGTGTATGTGTCTGTGTGTGTCTGTGTGTGTGTGTCTGTGTGTGTGTGTGTGTCTGTGTGTGTGTGTCTGTGTCTGTGTGTGTGTGTGTCTGTGTGTGTGTCTGTGTGTGTGTCTGTGTGTGTGTCTGTGTAGGCCAGAAGAGGACTTTGGAACTGGAGTTCCGGGCAGTTGTGAGCCATGTGATGTGAGGAGGGGCTGGGATCTGAACTCGGGTCCTCCAGAAGGCAGCATGTGCTCTCAGCCCCTGAATCACCTCCCCAGACCTGTTGCTTGCTTTCTTAGTGACTGCCATTCTGACTGGGGTGAGATACAATTTCAATGTGTTTTTAAATTAAGAATTCTCTTATGGATAGTGAGGTTGAATACTTTTTTGTATGTTTATTGATCACTTATATTTCATCTTTTGTGGACTGTACATTTCATTAGAATATTTATTGATGGAGTTGATTGGTTCCTTTTTGTTTAGTTTTTTTTAGTTCTTTGTATATGCTTTGTATAATGCTGGATGTATAGATTGTCAGCATTATTATTATATAGTCCAGAAAGTAATGTCCATTGGCAAAGATTTTTCTCCCCTCCAGTAGGCTGTCTCTTTATTTGATGAACTATTTCCAATGCAGTTCAAAAGCTTTTTAATTTCATAAGGTTCCATTTATCAACAAACACCTCAGCGACTGAAATCCTAGTCAGAATATCCGTGCCTATGCATGTATCCTAAAGTCTCTACCCACTTTTCCTCTAATGATTTCAGAGTTTTAGGTCTTATATTAAGCCCCAGCACCAGGGCGTTTTACCCAGCCTCTTCCACCTCTGTCCACCAGAGGGCGAGAAGGGCCGAGGCCATGCGGACCAACAGCTCCACCACCTTAGGGAGGTTTGAACCCCTCGTTCATCTGTTGATTTGGGTGTACATCTGTCCCCCCCACCCCCGGAGATTATAGGAATTATTCTGTTGCCTAGGACCCAGCCGCTTCCCCGCTCTACCCACAGGTTATTATTTCAGCTCCCTTCTTCCGAGGGCAGCAGGGTGAGCCCTACCTGTGTTGCAGGGCCGCGTAGAGAGCAGGGCCGTCGGTCCCGTGCGGACTCTCTCCACCTGGCGCACTGAGTCCTCCTAGGACTGAGGCCTCATTATCGGGGCCAGAGCATTTCCATCGGGTCCCATTGTCATGGCTGAGATCACCACCCTCGTCTACTGGCTGGGAAATGAGACCCAAAGAGGACAGATTTCCTTTGGGAGGTGACACAGCCTTTCAGAAAGCTCTGGTGGAGGCTGCGGGTGCGGCCGTGTGGTTGTGTCGCGGTCACGCACACAGTATAATACAGGAGTCAGTTCTGCCCTTTCCACCATGTGGGTTCTGGGGGGTGGGGATCAAGCTCCGGTCACCAGGCTTGTTGGTAAGCACCTTTGCCAGCTGAGTCACGTTCCCAGACCAATGTACAGTCCAAGCTAGCCTTGAACTCATAATCCTCCTGCCGCTTCCTCTTCAGTAGATCCTACCAGCCAGGCCTCTCCTTTTCGTTACTTTTGTTCCAAGAGTCCATCCTAAACCCGTCTGTCCTGGAACTCGCCATGCAACTGAGTATTGCCTGAAACTCCTGGGCTTCTTGCCTCCCTCCTACGTGCTGGGATTAAGGACACGTACCCTACCCTGGCCAAAACCAGGAATGTTGCATGGCTCTGAACGTCCTGCAGGTGAAGCTTTTCTGCTCGCTAAGGAGACTGTCTTCCCCAGGCCCTGTGCTCTGCGGAGAACAGAGAGGGGTTAGGGAGGCTGAAGATAGGTGACAGATAGATAGATCCCAATTCTCCCACCAGTCCCTCACATACTGCTCTGGTGTGAGCTGAGAAAGCCTCACTGGAATGTGTTTTATCTGTCCGGGTTACAAACGGACACCCCCTTTCATCTGGAAATTCCTAGCGATTCTCTGAGTCCCCGGAAATCTTAAAGGTCTGCCTGTGATCGTTATTTTTCTATTGCTTCGAGGAAACGCCGTGACCAAGGCAACTTACAGAATAAAGGGTGTTATCTGAGCTTCCGGTTCTAGAGAGAAGGCGTCCAGAATGGTGAGGGGGGCAGCCACGGCAGCTGTAACTGGCCACCGGAAACGGGAGCTCAGCTCATCCCTGGAACTGCAGACACGAAGCAGAGAGAACTATCAGTGGCACGAATCTAAAGTATCAAACGTATCCCCACTGGTGTACTTCCTCCAACAACTCCCCACCTCCTAAACTGCCCAGACTGTCACCAACTAGGGACCTGGTATTCAAAAGCCTGAGGCTACAGGGGCCACTGCCCTGGTGTGACTTACTGTATGTAGTCAGCACGGACTGGAAAAGCAAGAAAATTCAAAGCCCTGAGGGCTCATCAGTAAGGGACTGGTTCAGAGGACTCCAAAAATCTAAACTACTGCTGTCTGCGGGATGAGGGTCCGGGGACCCTGCGGCACACATATTCCTACCTTGGGAACCCCGAAGTGTATGCTCGCTTTGAACGCTGAGAGGTGGAGTAAATCAGGTGTCCCCACCCACCCTTTCCTTGGCTCCTTGCAGGCTGGCTGTGGTGCCACCAGACTACCGGGTGACGGACAGACGAGCACTGGAGATGCCGCCTTGCAGGAGCCGCCCTCATACCCTCCCATTCAGGTCATCCAGGCCAGAGTGTCTTCCAGCAGCTCCTCCGAGGTCTCCTCCATCAATTCCGACCTGGAGGTACAGGGCCTGCCGGGTGGGCGGGTCCGCGGGTGTGCCATCTACCAACCTTTGCTGGGGCCTCCTTCAGATTGACATGCTTTCTAACCCTGCCTTCTTAACCTTGAAGCTGCTAATCATGAATGGAGATCTGCATGGCTCCCACGGGCTAAGGAGAAGCCTCTCAAACTGGGACGGGCTACTCCATGATTGGGCTGGTCAAGGGAATACTGAATGTCGGGGTCCATTTCTCCTAGATGCATATCCAGGTCCTTCCAACAGAAAAAAAAGCAAGGGTAATCTCTTAAAAGCCTCCATGGTTTAGGATGGATGGCTTAGGCTGTAACCCCAGAGCTCAGGCAGTTGAGGCATGAGGATCATGAGTTCGAATCTAGCCTGAGCTACATATGAACCTGTTAGAAGGAAAGGAAAGAGGGAAAGAGAAAGGAAGGCAAGAAGGTTAGTACCAGTGTTTCCCCAGCCATCTGACCAGAGGAATGGGAACCCATGATGCTGGTGCTGACCCCACGGGCAGGACCTATGGGAAGCGGCGTGCCTAGCCTCTATTTCACTTTGTGTCTAAACGGGATTCATGTCACACCAGGGATGCAGAGAGGTGCGGCTCCCACATGTCCTGTCACCGTGAATTCTGGTTCTGCAGTTTCCAACCACATTCAACAAGGGGGTTCCATTCGTCTAAGGCCAGAGGAGAGCAAGGACGGCACAGGGGTCACGTGTATGTTGAAGAGGGTTGCTGTCTAGCATTTTTGGTGGAGGAATGACTGAATTTTGCGTCCTAGCCTTTTAGGTGTTAGATGCCCCTTTGTGGGGGTGATGGCAGTCAGCAGGAAGCATGCTGAGTCGTGGGTTGGGTTGGGTTTGATTTTTAATGCCCTTGTTTGGCAAAATAATCATAATTTGCTCAGAATCTGAAAATTAGTCAGACTTATGCTGTACCCTGAAATCCAAAACTCAAGACCTTCTGGCTGTGGGGTAAACCAGCTTCCTTAGTGTGATATTCCAGCCCTTTCTAGCCTGTGCATGACGCTGTCTCTGGTCGTAACTAGCGTTCTGTCCCGGCCGCTCTGTTCCCTGTCCCAGACCTCTGGACCGTTCTTCCTGGGTTCCCCTAGCCCCATTTCCATGGGTCAGAATTCTATCCAGCGGCCTGCTTCTGTAAACTGTTACCCCAGGACCAGTGGCTCCCTCCACCAGCTGCCCAGAGCCCATTTTCCTGCTCACCTCCATAGGTGGCCACGGCCTGATGAGTGTGGGTGTCACTCGGTCCCTCACTTCTAGAACAGCTGGTGGCTGAGAGCTGAGTTGTGTCCCATTGGGGCCATATTCCTAAACTGAGTCTGGTAATGATTGTGACACCGAGAAGCCTGGAGCTGGCAGTCTTCACAGAGGCCTGTGGCAGAAGGGACTACAGAGTGAGCCCAGGGCAGAACAGGGACAGGAGGGCCCACGGGGGAGTAGGAAAATACTCTGGGGAAATGAGGGCACCTCTCCCGGTCCCACAAAAGCACTTGTCATCCGTCTTGGACATTGCTGGAGCCTGCCCTTGTCACTGGTCCGGGCCATTCCTCTGCCCCTTCTTTCCCTCCTTTACAGTCTCACAGTCTTTAGAAGTCCATTGTTTAAAAGCAGGCACATCCTTGCTGTGTTGGCGTCTCATGCCCGTAATCCCAACACTCAGGCAACTAAAGCTGGAGGACCACTGAAGGTTCGAGACCAGCCTGGACTACACAGGGAGACTCTGACTCAGCACAAGCCAGGAAGTGAAATATATGTTAATTCTTCGAGTCCACACTAAGCAAGTGGCTCTGGCTGTGTCTGCCCACGTTAAATGATTAATTTGTAAATCGGGTGGTAGTGGCAAACATCTTCAATCCCAGCACTCGGGGGGCAGAAGCAGGTGGATTTCTGTGAGTTCCAGGCCAGCCTGGTCTACAGAGTGAGTTTCGGGACAGCCAGGACTTACACAGAGAAACTCTGTCTCTCGAAAAACAAAGAAACAAACAAAATTCCCATCCTTTCTATTTCCCCATTGCTTTGTTTATTGCTGGGGAATGAACCCACGGTCTTGAGCAGCCTACAGGAGCGCTCTGCTGTTGAGCCATTTTCAGACCTGTGTCTTCTAAAAGCTCATTCCGTACTCGTGACTACGCTGCTCTAAATGAGTATGGCCCCCATAGGTTCATAGATTTAAATGCTTGCTTCCCCGTTGGTAGCACTATTTGGGAAGGGCTAAGAGTGTGACCTTGTTGGGGGAAGTGTGTCACTGGTGTGGGCTTGTGTCTCTCTCTGCCTCATGCTTGTGTCTCAAGATGTGGGCTCTCAGCTACTGTTCCAGCACCGTGCCAGCCTGTCTGTGTGATGAGATGCCGCGTAATACACATTTGGGGGGGGGGCAGAAAATTTGGAGAGCATAAAGAGAGTAAAGAAGAAAATTAAAATCAAGCGCCTGGCTCACTAACCAACGGTCACCTCCTCCATGCCGTTGGTTTGGGGAGCCGCGTTCCTTAAAGAGCCTGGTTTGTTGGCCAATAAGTGAGATCAGAAAGGCATCTGTTAGCAGATGATGTAACCGTGTACTTCACCTCGGCTGCTGGTCAGTCACTCAGTAAATATTTTCTGAGCGTGGGCATTTGAAGGAAAAATACACGAGGTCAGAGGAACTGGCCTGAACCTGCCCACAGGCAGGCCACTACAGTGCCTCTTGGCCACAGTGACTCAGATCTTCTACACATGCCCTCAGATGGAAGCAGGGGTCAGAGTCAGGCCTCACCTCTCTCTTCCCTAAGCTGGCATCATTCACATACTCGATGGCATGCACGTCGGACATTCAGGGCAGCTCTCCTCCCTCTTGGGATGCCTCTGCCCCTGCCCTGCCCCTCGTTTCTGAATGCTACTGTGTGTCCTTCCCCCATCTCCCTGGCTTGAATCTGTCAATGATCACTCAGGCTTCGGTTCGATCCCATTTAATGCAATCTAAGAGAATCATACCTATTTGTCTCTCTCTGGCCAATGTGAAAACGTGAACCCTGCCAAGTCTGGTACCATCTTACATCCCTGGCCTTGGGGACAGTCACTTCTCCCCAAATATAGGAGGAAGAAGTTAGACAGATGGTCTCCAAGAGTGTACCACAGTTCCCACAGTCTGTACCTTAGACCTAGAAGGTGACCTTATTTCCTCAACGCTTTTAGCACCCACTTCATCCTCAGGAATAGAAGAAATAATACCACCTGCTCTGTAGATAAGCTAGCACATGCTTCTTGGTTTCAGAAACACGAGAAAGCATGCTTTAGGAAGCTTGTGAATTGAAACACTGTGTGCTGTGGTCACAGGATCATGGCCCTGAAAATCAGTCGAGAATACATGGAGCCAGGTGTGGCACCTGGAGGTCTAGTCCTTGGGAGCCGGGCGCTGGTTGAGTGACGCGTCGAGATCCTGTCCCAAAGGATAAAGACTGTGACATGTTTATTGTGTATAAAAGGGAAAAGATTTCGCACAGTTTGATCTTACTACAGTGTACATAGAATACACATATGGCAACATCATACGTACAGCATGACTGTGATAATTGTTCTCAGAAGGTTATTCAATAACTGTTCAGAGAGAAAATCTCCCAAGGGTAGGATATAGACCACGCTTGCATGCACATGTGGCTCTGTGTGTGTGTGTACTTTTAAACATTATTTCTGTTTTTATGTGTATGAACATTTTCCTTCACGTGTCTTTGTACCACATGCATGCAGCGCCTGAAGAGGCCAGTAGAGGGCACGGTATCCCCTGGAGTTAACACCATGTTGGTGTTGGGAATCAAACCTGGGTCTTCTAGAAGAGGTGTTGTTATGTTACTCTTAACTGCTGAGCCATCTTTCCAGTCCCTGGTGTGTATATATTTTGAGGAGTCTTGAAGACTTCAGATCCTCCTACTTCACCTCCCAGTGCCAGCTGAGATGTTTTGTTTTGTTTTATTTTTTTCTGTGAGAAAAAAAGCATCTTTTTATTTTCTTTTGCTGTTATTCTTGAAATAGGGGAAAGTTCTAAAACATTTTATTTATTGTTAGTCTTTATTTATTGTTAGTTATTGTTAGGAGAGACTTCTGTTACAAAGATTTGAGTTAACTGGGCTTAGGATGTTGTCATCATTGACTTAGAATGATAATTTATAAGTCAGGTGTGGTGTTGCATGCTTGTAATCCCAGTACTACAGGCAGAGGCGTGGGGGGTGCCTGTTTGAGGTTAGTTTGATCTACATTATTACCCTGTCTTAAAAACAAACAAACAAAAAAAACCCCACTAACCACTCCTTCCAGCAGAGGGCGCTCTTCTTAAATCTTGTGCTGTCCCTGGCGTTGGCTGCTCTGAATGACTTTCAAGGTTTCCCTGCCACCCAGCTGGAAGATCCAAGCCTACTTATTGGTTTGCTTGGCTTTAAATAAACTTTTTATTCTGAAATAATTTTGGATGTACAGATTTTTTTCAAAATTAGTACAAATTTCTCGTTCGCCCTTTTTCACCCAGCTGTCTCTGTTAGCGTCTTACACAACACGCTACATTTAGCAAAGCTAAGAAATGAACTCAGTGCGTTTCTACCAGCTGGAGCCCAGGCTCTGCTTGAATCTCGGCAGTTTCCCACCGGCTGGATTTTGTCCAGGACAACAACAGCACTCTGAGATGTTTCTTAAAGAACCGAGCACACGTTAACTGTAACACCGCAAACGACCGTTTACATTTTGTGGGGATGTCTGTATTTTTCTAAGGAAGAGTAAAACGCTTTTGAATTTGACTTCTCTTCTCATTCCCATCATACTTTAAAGTCAAGGAGCTTTCTCGGCGCCTGCTTTATGTCAGTTTAGTAGTCTGTACCTCTTCAAATGCATGTTTTCCACTTGCTTCCCTGAGAAGGATGTCATTTAAAGATGGGTGGAGCTGAGGTCCTCATCCCAGAAGCCCTGCCTCGCTGGGCAGCGTCTGTGCTATTGATTTGTCTCTGAATGTTTCCTCTCCACTTAGGGATAAAAAAAGGTGATCGTTGGCCGGGAGGAGGCAGGGAGGATAGGAAGGGACAAGGAAGAGCAACAATGATATATATATATACTCCGGCTTAGAAAGGAAGGTGCCTGCTAGCCAGTCATAGTGATACATGCCTGTAATCCCAGCACTGGGGAGGCTGAGGCAGGAGGATGACATGTTTCATGCCAGCCTCTACTACACGCTGAGAGCCAGTTACACAAAACTGACTAATTGATTGGAAATAAAAAGACGAATGGCAGCGAGAGGTGCAGATCTGGGAGCGTTCATGCACAGGCCGGGTTTGGTGTGTCACCTAACATCCCAGCTCTTGAGGCTGCCGCATGTTCAAGCCGGCCCGAGCTATACTATGAGACCTAATCTCATTGAGAAAAAGAAAAGAAAACAAAACAAAACAAAACAAAACTCAGTTTTAGCATGCGTGATGCCCTGTGTTTCAGGATAGGTACCCCCTCTCTGCAAAACAAGATGATTGCTGAGGATTCTTCACAGAGGTTAGCTGGGACTACATGGAGATTGTATTAGGTTTAGGCATGACATTGGAATAAGGATTTTTCTATGGAAGCATTTTAAGTTATTTGTAAATAAAAAAATGATGTATTTTAAGATACCAAATTAGAAGACAGGGGAGCAGGCTGTCTCACTGGCATTCATTATTCTTTCGCTTTTGGGTATGGCTAAAAGCCCTATCATTAAAGCATTTAACATGTAAAGAGTTGGACAAGCCAGGTCTGTCATTGCATACTGGTGATTCAGCATTTGGGAGGTGAAGGGAGGCTAGCCTCAGCTATGCAGTGAGTTTGAGGCCAGCCTCACCTACAAGAGACCCTGTCTTAAAAAACAAAAACGAAGCAAAAGACTTGAACAGTAGAAGTTTTGTTTCTTACGTCTATCGCCTGCGGGGTTGTCGACTCAACACCCACAGATAGCCTGCCAGCATAGATTCCTAGCACTGGGGTCAGAAATACAGGCCTTTGGGAACCGAATGGCTGCGGGACGAGGCAGACAGTCTGCACTTGCTCCTCCAGGATCCTGAGTCAGGCATATTTGAGGTTTGCAGTAGAACCGGTCATGCAACAAATGCCAAGTAAAGGAATGTGTAAGCTGCTTGGCAAACCCCATAGGTGGAGATTCTATTTATGCCTCTTTCTTAAGAGGTTTATGAGTTTGCATTGGATCATCTCTGCTATGTGGTTAATAAATAGAAGATTTACTGTTATTATTACTATTATTAGAACCGCCACCACTACCACCCATAATTTCTAATTATAGTCATTGTGAAGTGTCTGGGAGTTGTTTCTTCCAGAACCCCAGCCCTGCATAACCATGGTGGGCTTGTTTTATTTGATCATTTAACTAACTTACTAAATTAATTACCCTGCTAATAGCGACTGCCTTCCTGCTTGCTGGAACCTTGTCTTTCCCCCATCCCAACCCTGCAGTCATCCAACGCTCTGACTCCCAGCTCTGAGCACAGGGGCTGACTCTGGGCTCTGCTCTGTGGCCCAGGCTGGGATCTGTTCAACACTCTGTCTCTCTTTTTATTCTACAGCAGAAGTATTGGGAAGCACTAAACTTGGAGCAGGTATGGACAAGTACTTGGTCTCCTTCGGGAGGGACTCCCTCTTGGAGGGAGGACATGATAGTTTTTAATTTTTTTTTTAAATGGGGGGGGGGGCTGTGGGCTGGAGATGCAGTTCAAAAGAGGGCCTGCCAGGTACAGCCTACTCCCAGCACTGCAAAGTGAATGCGTAAGAAATAAAAAGCTCACGAGGAAAGTCTGGCGACCCGTAGGGTTCGGGGACTCTCTTTATAAGGTCTTTTCTGCACTGGAAGTATTCAGAACCAATTGCCTCAACTTGGGAAGAACTCAGTATAACCCAGTGAGGAAACCCAGTCTGTCGGGGTCTGTGAACTGTGGAGTAGCTGCAGGAGGTCACGTGTGGTCTTTGGGGTGTGGCTGCAGCAGTTATGAGAAACAGCCTCACGCCACACGTTGGCCGTTGTCTTTCTGAGACTGCATGCAGCTGGCTGTCTCTTCGCTTGCAATAACAGATAAGCATGTTTGGTGACAGCTACCTGTGCCTGTCATCGCCCAGAACTGTTTGTGACACAAATTCATGGGCTGCTTTTTTTTAATTTTCCTTTTCCTTTTTTTTTTTGTCTTTTGTTTCATTTTTTTGAGACATTTTTGAGACATTTCTGTAGTCCTGGCTACCCTGGAACTCACCAGGCTGGCCTCGATCTCACAGAGCTCCACCTCTCTCTGACTCCCGAGTGCTAGGATTAAAGAAGTGTGCCACCACTGTCCCAGCTTTAAACCTTCTTCCTAATTTTTTTTTTTTTATTGCTCAAAGCAGCTCAACACATTGTCCTACAGAAGGCAGACTCTAAATGCCTTCTAAGATGTAATCACATTAAAGGGCTTACCTGTTCAGAGCACCAGACTTTCTATTCACGGGCAGGTGAGTCCATCAAGGTTCGCAAGAACAACTTAAGCAGTATTCAGAGTTGGAACGACGGCATTCAAACATCTAGGAAGCAATGCAGTAACTTGTTAAGATGTTAACTCGTAAGTCTCAGCCCACCAACCGTGACTACAGAGCCCGTGGCATCCGTTCAATGAATCCTGGGGCATTGCCAGTCCAGAGCGTGTTCTGAGATGTCGGATCTAGGACCGAGGTCTGTGCTTGCCCACTGTGTTCATCGAAAGTTCCCTGGCCATCCTTAGAGGACAGAACAGGCCCCTGCTCCTACTGTTGAGCATATGGCTCTGAGGCTAAGAGTCACTGAGTTATTTTATGTAGAATCTTTGGTGTCTGGAAAGGGTTTGGTTAGAGGTGCCACGTCTGCAGTCACAACTACACAAGAAGTTTACACAAGCCCAGATGGGTACAGAGCACTGAGCTGCAGGAACCGAGTTATCTCAGTGCCAGATCTGTGGGGTCGCTGGGCAGCGGGAGTCTTTTTAACATGGTGTGTGTGTGTGTGTGTGTGTGTGTGTGTGTGTGTGTGTGTGTGTGCGCGCGCATTTGTGTGTGTATGCCTGTGTGTGCGTGCATGCGCGCGTTTGTGTGTGTATGCCTGTGTGTGCGTGCATGCGCGCGTTTGTGTGTGTATGCCTGTGTGTGCGTGCATGCATGTGTTTGTGTGTGTGTGTGTGCGTGTGTGTGTGTGTGTGTGTGTGTGTGTGTGTGTGTGAGAGAGAGAGAGAGAGAGAGAGAGAGAGAGAGAGAGAGAGAAGGGTGGTACAGAACATCATGCACTCACGGAGGTTAACAGAGAGCCTCCCTATTTATTCCTCTCCACCTTACTCTTTAAATGAGCTGGAGAGAATCTGAATAAGGAGGCTAAACCTTGTCATTCTCAGTTAGGCTGAAAATGAGTCTGGGTCCATGACCCTGCCCAAAAGAGGTCTTTCAGCCCAAGCTGGCACGGCTCCCATGACCATCGCTTGTTTCTGGGTTCTGTTGTTTTGTTTTGTTTTTTTATTTCTTTGGTTTGGTTTGCTCTTTTTGGTTTTTGTCTTGTTTTGTTTTTTGTTTTTGTTTGTTTTTCGAGACAGGGTTTCTCTGTGTGGCCCTGGCTGTCCAGGAACTCACTATATACACCAGGCTGGCCTCAAACTAGAGGTCCACCTGCCTCTGCCTTCCAAGTGCTGGGATTAAAGGTCTGTGCCACCAACCACTGTCTGGCTTTGTTTTGTATTTTCGTGATAGGTTTCACTGTCTAGTCCCGATTGACCTGGAATTCTCCGTGTAGACATCAATGTAGGTTGGTCTCAAACTCACAGAAATTTGCCTGCCTCTGTCTCTTCCTCTGCCATGCTGGAGTAAAGGGGTGCACCACCATGTCCAGCGATGGAGTTCTTAATCTTAAATCACGTGCAAGTCTCACTCTCTGCTTTGTCGTCTTCGGAGAGTATTTTGCAGGCAATGCCATCTATGCTTACAGGTCATTTTTAATCCCTCCTCTCAAGCCTTTGCAGATTTCAAATTGCCATTTTGATTGGAATTGGTGATGGCAATATCCAGGATAGCTAGGACCATAACACACTGAAACTCTGTCTCAAAAAAACAAACAAACAAAAATTATGTGTATGGAAAAATTTTGCCTGCATGTTTATCTGTGTACTACATGCATGCAGTGCCAAAAGAGCCAGAAAGGGGGATGGGATCCTCTGGAATTAGAGTTACAGACGGTTGTAAGTAGCCATGTAGGTGCTAGGAATGGAAACTGAGTCCTCTGGAAGCGCAGCAAGAGCTCTTAATGCCCAGAGCTGGCCTTTAAGAGGTGACTATAGCCTTTCATCCCAGCACTCGGGAGGCAGAGGCAGTTCGAGGCCAGCCAGGTCTACAAAACGAGTACCAGGACAGGCTCCAAAGCTACACAGAGAAACCCTGTCTTGAAAGAAAAAAAGTTTACTTTAGACGTGTCCGCTCAGCCTCAATCCAAGAGGAAAGACTTCATGGGGCAAAGGCGCAGCTCTGTTCGGCTCCTCAGGAACTCAGCATCTCCAGCAGGGCCAGGCAGATGTTCAAGGGGAGACTAGAGCTGTGTGTGTGCAGATACGAATGAGAGGTGGAGCGGTACCCAGTAGGGCTGAGAGCTCCCCATAAAGCTTCAGAGAATAACACTTGCTCCGGAGGAGCTGCTTCCTTGGGCTGGAAAGGGAGTTGAGAGTCTCTCTGCTCTTTTCCAGAGTGTTCCAAGGGCACTTGGTGGGGCAAGGCTTGGTGAGGGAAGTAAATGGGGGAGATGGCAAGGGACGTGGGGCTAGTCTGCCCAGGGTGGCTGTTCTTTCAGTCATTGATTTAAAGCTACACTGTGTAGGGGGCTGTAATGCCAGTGTGAGGACAGGAGACCTAACAGTGGTAGAGCACTTGCCTGGCATGCTCAAGGCCCTGAGTTCCATCCCTAAGACCACCAAAATTAGTAAAGCTGTACTCTCTCTAATTGTAGAACACAGGCTGGGCTAGCTTGTGCTTACTGACTTCCCCTTGTCTTTGCTTGGGTCATGAGACCTGGGGTTGGGCTGTCATCTGGGGATGGCCGGGCTGGAATAGTTGGAAAGGATCTGTCACACCGAGATACCTTTTCTGTCTCTTCTCTACAGTGGGACCCTGAAGATGTCAACCTTGAAAGGAGCAAGGACAACGTGGAGTTCGTTAGCTCACAGATGCACGGGGGCTCTTTGACTCCGGTGGACTTGACCTCTGACGACTGACCTCTCCACGAGCCAGTTCGCCAGCTCAGAACTCAAGGTCAGGCATCTGCCAGTGGGACAACCTACAGAGCCACCCCTGGCAGAAGTGGAAGCTGCTGCAGAAGCTTTCTGAGGAGTGAGGACCCCCAAGCTGTCACTTGGCTTGGCTACTCTACCCCATGGCTCAGAATGGATCTAAGGCTGTGGGGCCACTAGACAGAGCTGCACAGGCCACAATTACTCTGATGGTGTGAAGTTCGCAGATGAATCCTGTTTGTAAAGATAAGCTTCCTCCCAAAGGACATGGGGTCGATTGCCATGAGAGTCAAGCGTAAATACTGTTTGCTTAATAACAGGTTCGGACTTGCCAAAGTGCTACTGTTTGGACCTCAAAAGAATGCATTCGAGATTCAACTAAGCTCTGATGAGAGACTGGGCCCACAAGCTAGAGGACCTGGGCACATGCACAGGGACTGGCTTCTGCTGTCCAGTCCCTTACCTAGCTGCCACCACATGTTATATACGGCTGCCTGGTCAACCAAATATTTAAAAGACATTGGTAGGGCAAGGGCAACTGCTACGTGATCTTGGGAACAGGACCCCCTCCAGCTTGGCAAAGTATGGGCTGGGTTCGCTCAGTATGGGGTCTTATGTGCATGAAGAGGATATGGACACAAAGCAAAGAGCTGTTTCGAGTATGGCGAGGCCATCTAAGGGAGGTTTGGATACCGTGACCATGAGTGAGGGGAAGAATGAAGGGAATGGGGCCAGGCGGGAGCGAACACTGGGTTGAGTGGATTAAAATATCTCAAGGTGGAACATAGGAATAAGTCTGAATCCCAGCATAGAAGTCTGCCACGAGGGGAACTGGGAGAAATGCCAGGAAACACAGCTCTGCTCGCAGCTGGCCCATGACCGCCTGCGACTCAGCTGCAGCTGCCCAGTGTCTCCTAAGGGGCGGCGCAAATCCCCACGGTGTGAAGAACAGGGTGCTGGTGGAAGCTGGTTGAGTGTGCAGGTTTCTGCATAGTGCCTAATGCCCTGTGATCTCTAAGCCAGAATTCAAAGTTGCTTTGTCTGCTTTGAGTCCCTGGTTCTCTTGTGAGGGAACTTGCTGAAGTCAGGGTTGCTGTGAAGTCTTCAGTACTGAAGCTACTTTGAGGAAAGAGGACCACTGGGGCACGGGGTGAAATGGAACATTCCAGCCCAGATCATAGCAAACTAGAGGCAGTGAAGGGTGCGATCTAGTCAAGGAAGAAGCCTAGCATGGCCAGGATGGCTGCAGCCATATTATTTTGAAAAGAGAGAACTGGGAAAGAAGCAGGCTATGGAGACTAGGGTGTTAGCACCGAACGCTGTAACCATGCAAGAAACCAAAAGAGGAAGGTGACTGACTTGCTCAAGTAGGCTACCATTAGTGAGTTTCTCATCCTTGAATTTTCATAAAGCAGAAATGTAGTCATGGGTACAGAGTAAACGTGAGACACATGATTAATGTATATTTCCTTAAAAGGGGGAGGGGCTGTAAGAGGCCAAGGTACCTTCAGATCACGACCCTCCTCCTGCCCCTGCTTTCCGAGTGCTGGGATTCCAGGCCTGAGTCACCATGCCGCCTTGCACTTTATAGATGAGGAGGCGTGTTCAGAAACTAACCAGAGCATCCGCCCACAGAAGTGGCCAGAATAATGACAGTGCAGGCCTTGCTTGAACTCCTGGAGTCTGGGGCACGCTATCTGTCCTGACGTCTGTATGATTGAGGGAGTGCTCTGATTACTACATTCTCTTAAAAGCTTGCCTGGGGGCCTGGGGCTCAGTTGGGTGAAGGCTTTCCTAACATGCACGAGGCCCTGGCTTCTGTCTTCGGTACAGCATGAAGGGGCTATAATGATGCACACCTGGAAGTGGGAGGTGGAAGCAGCAGGATTAGAAGTTCAAGGTCATCTATCGTTAGCTGCACAGGTCAGCGCCGGGCGTCTGAGACCCTGTCTCAAGGGAGGAAGAGAAAATGCAATAGTATAGATCTTGAAGAACTAATCACTTTCAACCCATCCAATAGTCACTGCAGAGAGAAGTTTAATGAGGACGAGGACCATCTGATGATGTATGCATCTGTTTCCATGAGAATGAGTTACAAGTTTAAGGAGGCTCTGGGCCCAAGAGCATGACCAGTCTCCCATTCCCAGGGCTGAGACAGTATGCTGTCATCCCTCTTTCTGGGTCACAGTTTCCCCATCTAGAACAAGAAAGGCCAAGCATGGTGGCTCACACTTGGGATGCTGGGACAGAAGGACTTCCACAAGTTTAAGGTCAGTCTGGCTATCAAGACCAGGTCTCAAAAGACCAACAAACCAGACCAAATATGGTGGCACATGCCTTTAATCCCAGTACCCAGGGGACAGAGGCAGGAGAATCTCTGTGAGTCCGAGGCCAGCTTGGTCTAGACATCCAGTTCCTGGACAGCCAGGGCAATATAGTGAGACCCTACCTGAAACAAAACAACCAACCACCACTGACCCGGAGATACGACTACAGCTCAATGGTAGAGTACTTGCCTAGCATGCATGGGCCCTTGGGTTTCATCCCCTTCCATTTTCCTTTCATGAATATGCCAGTTAGCATTTCATACGTAAGACTGACTCTTTATAAACACTCAGAAAGAGATGTTATGTGAAGGGAGATTTCAGATACACTTTGAATAGGTATCACTATATATTATATACTTGTGTTTCAATTTATTTTTTGTGTGTGTGTATTTGCAGCTGCACCAAGAAGCAT